GAGAGCAAAGTTCTGATTTCTGGGAAGGCTCAAGTATTAAGAACTAAATGGACTATGATAAACATGGATTCATTCAATGAATAGTTTTTGAACACCCTCTAGGTTTAGCAATAATAAGGACCTCTTTGCAGCTTAACAAGGGTGGCTCTGAAGCAGATTTCCTAGCTTTGTCTCTTGTTTATACCACTTTACTGTGTGATGCTGGGAAAGTGCCTTAACCTCTCTGTGCCTCAAGCTCCTCAACTGAAAAGTGACGATAACAGTACTAACTAATCGCATAGGATGTTGTCAGGATTATACAAGTTAACATGCCTGGTATATACTATTGTCATTTCCCCCGCTCCCCCTGCCCCCAGAAATGTCATGGTTAGTACACTCTGTTGTTGGTAGTGAGCAGTTTTTCTGGGTCTTCCTGGAAGACCTGGACTCATGTTGACTCCTCAGGGCTCAGGAAATATTATTTACAAGACAGTCAGCTATGCATTCTCACTGACTACTGTCTGTCATCTACCAAATGGCTATGCCACAGAGGTGCTAATCCAGGGTGACCCTACTTGAGAACCACTGCTCTAGAATATAAGCACCATGAAGTTGGATGCCAACTAGTGATTTGGCTGATCTTCCTGAAGCTTGGGAGGGGGGCTTCCAAGTTGCATGCTGGGATATACTCTTCCAATCAGGAGTCCACCAGGCTGCACCCCCCACAAGGTATCTATCTATACAACCAGCCTTGACCTAATTTTAAGAGGTGGATAGAAAGCCTTCAAAGGGCAAACTTGATCATGGCCTAATAACTGACATGGAGCCTTGTTCTTTGGGATCTTAAATTGAACTATAGAGGATTATCTTAGAAAAAAATAAAATCTTCCTGAAGATGCACCCCCCCCAACATTACACAGTGTCTTAACAGTCTTTCAAGTTCCTTTTAAAGTCTTTCTGAGTAGATACAAGTGAATTGGAAAGTTCCTCTCTTGTTTAATAGTTAATGGGCTTGGTGGACTGACCAGTAGCTACATAAAGAATTTTAAAGTTAAAACCTACACTCCTGGGAAAACCGAGTACTCCTCACAGCATAGAAAACAGTCATCCAGCTACTCTATAGGAGGATTCACATTCTCCCTGGACAGGGAATGATGAGACTCTGATTCCTACCTCAATATTGTCGCGATTGGACTCTGGCAAAGAGAGGCGGAACCTGAAAACAAAACCACAAAAATCAACAGGTTAAAGGAGGAATATTTTAAAACAGCCATTTAAATAGAAAGAAACAAAAGGGGTCGGAACATTTTTTTAGCTCAATATGTTACTATTAAAAAACAACAACACACCACCCAATCTTATAAGGACATAATGTTCTATTACATCGTTACCCCTATATTCGCTGCTTAAGAAGCAGGGCAGGAAAAGCAGAAGGCTTGGGTTCCCCAAGTGCTTTTGCTCTGTGGGACTTAGTCTGTTGGCAACTTGGAATGCAGAACAACCTTAATAGTTTTCAGTCAACAACCATAACAACCCCCCCCCACTTCCCCTCCCTCCCGCCCCTGCCGCCCCAATCTCCTCTGATCTCTGAAGCTAAGCAGGGTTAGGCCTGGGTAGTACTGGGTTGGGAGAACAGTTCCAGGTCTTCTTGCTCTGAACTCAACCTCATAACTTCTCTGATCCAGGCTGGTATCTTATTAATAAACATGATGATGATGGTGATAATGATGACACTATATGACATGTCCTAGTTTAGGAGATTTATACACATTTTTTAAAAATAATTTTTTTGTTAATCCTCACCTGAGGATATTTTCTCAGGGAGGGAGGGAGGGAGGGAGAGAGAGAGAGAGGAAAGGAGGGAGGGAGGAAGGGAGAGAGAGAGAAACATCAATGTGAGAGAGACACATCAATTGATTGCCTCCACCACTTGTCCCAACCAGGGTTGGGGAGCGAATCTGCAACCCAGGTACATGCCCTTGGCCAGTACTTGAACCCACAACACTTCGGTGCATGGGCCGATGCTTTAACCACTGAGCAACACCAGCTAGGGCTAAACATTTTTAAATTTAAACTTCACAATAACCCTGTGATAGATGCAATTATTGTTTCCCCTTTTGCAGATGAGGAAACTGATGATCAGAGAGGAGAATTAAATTACCCAAGTCTCAACTGATGGATCTGGATGACAAATCTCACTCTACTTGACTCTATGCTCAGCCGAGGCCACAGCTCTCAGGAGGCGGTATCACCTACACCATTTTTTATCTGTTCAATCACAACACATTGGGGAAGCGTCAGCTCTGACAGCTGTCTGGCGTCACAGGCAGTGCAGGGTAATTTTGAAGGCGCTGCTGGGACATGGGGAGGGATGCCTCTTCTTGGTCACACCACCTCTCACGGACAAGGCAGACCAGGTTGGAAATCTGGCCACATAAGGTGGGACACACTTGTGAGTTTTCCTTCTTTTCTTTCATCACACCCCCAAGCCATGATTGGCCGCTTCAGGAGCACCTGCTATGAGTGAGCTCGTCTGGGGTGTCCAACAAACCAACTGTCCTTTCCTCGTAAGACCATCTTCTGTCTCTCTCCTTGTTTTCTAGGCGCACTCACAGGTTTGCTTACTAATGGGCACGTCTCACTGTCGCAGAGAAACAGGCGGAGCAAAGAGCAAACTCTCCCTCCTGTTTCTGAAAAACACGCGAGTGCAGCTCAGACCACGAGGTGGCGACTCAGTTCAGTCCTTTGACCTTTCATTCTCTGCCAGGCCCCTAGCCTGCTACGGAAAGCCTTGACACTAGGAACTAATTTTTATGACAGAACCACAGAGTCCTTGGGGAAAACGGGAGCTCAAATAGCCTTACTTTGCAGACATATAAGAATATAGCTTATTTAAAAAGTTTTGGAGAAGGTTTATTGTCCTGACCGAAAACCAGAGCTAAAGTGCAAACTCTGAAGCGTGGCAAGAGGCCCTTTGTGATCTGGGCCAATATAACAAATATGACACAATGAAAGTCAAGTGCAGCAAAGCACAGGCACTCACAAAGCCATTCCTCCAACCTGTGGCCACAGCGGACATTGAAAATCAATCCTGCACTCAATATCTACGCTGTAACAATTGTTTATCTCTTTGCCTGATTGTGAACTCCTTGAGGATAGAGATTCAGTCTTAACTTTGTATTCCCAGATTGAGTTCAGGGCATGGCACATTTAGACACTTACTGTTCGTTCGTTCATTCATTCATTCGTTCATTCATTCATTCATCCAGCAGATATTTACTGAATACCTAATAGATTGTGAGCAAAACCAGACACAGCCACTGCTCTCATGCAGATTATTATAGCCCAGTGGGGAGGCAGGCGTTAATCAAATAATCCACTGATGAAGGTGTAATTGCAGATTGTGATAACTGCTTTGGTGGAAAGAAATACATTCATGGAGGCAAATGGTGGTTACGGGAAGAAATACATTCATCTTACTTGGTGGTTACGGGAAGTTTTCCAAACCACGGAAGAATGTCCTTGAGCTAACATGTAAAGGATGAGCAGGCTTAAATAGGCAAAAGGGGAAGGGAGAGAGAAGGGGTCTGGGCAGAAGTTGCAAAGGCCCTGTGGAGGGAACAGAGAGCAAGATGATGCTGGAGAGGCAGGCGGGGTTGGCCAGGCTGGGTTTCTCAGGCCATGTGAGAATTTTGATATTTATCCTAAGAGCAAGGAGTCGACAGAAGGTTTCTGAGAAGGGAGGTGTTGCCTGTCTTCTGTAAAGATCACTCTGGCTGCAGCATGGAGGGAAGACTGGCAGGTGAGAGGTTTCCCAGGTGCTCAGTCTATGCTCAGTGATGTGGTTTGCAATGTGCAGAATTTTATTTATGTGAGGGATGGAGAGAAGCTGCTGAGTGTGCAAGAAGCAATTAGAGAGCAATGCAAAGCAATGTGTATTCAGGTGCTCTTTCGTAAGTTGCTGCAGGAAGTCTGAGAAGGTGGGATAAGGTAAAACAGCCAGAAAGAAGAAGAAAATGAACAAGAGGATGAGGAGGAGGAGGAGGAGGAGGAGGAGAGCGGGGGTGGGGGGGATAAACTGCCCTTTGAGAGAAGCACTCTGTACACTACCATGTCCCTTTGCACCCAGTACTGTAATTGCCTGAAACTGAGTGTTTCTCTCTCCAGACTGTGGATCTGGAAGGTTGACACCACTGTCCTCTCTACTCTCTGTATTAAGAACAGGGCAGAGCACATAATAGGTGCTTAATAAATTCTCAGTGAGTGGATATTATGGATAAATGAGCAGATAAAGGACATGGGTGGGAGAGTGTCTATTGGAACTGAGCTCACTTTGAGGGTGAGCCAGTGTGGGTTTCATTGCACCAGCAGAGTGTTCACTTTAGGAAACTATGGGAAGTCAGGCTGGCTGGCTTGAAAGGTAGAACCAGTTACTGAAGAGCTTGAAACCCCAGGCTGTGGATTCAATCCAACTATGAAAGATTTTGAGGGGAGCCCATTCCAGTATTTAAGGATCCTCTAGATGAGGAAGAGTTCCCCAATGTTTTCACTTGATTGCCTTCTGCAACCTGGAAATTCTCCCAAAGAGTCAGGGAGGAGGGGAAGAAGTCATTTGGGGTTCCCTTCTCTGATGGAGCCCCTCCCCCCACAGTGGCTTCAACATTCGCTCAGAGGAAGGGTGGAGATGGAGGTCAACACGAGCCAAGTCTGAGCTCTGCTGACCTGTCCGAGCACTGTTCCAACAGAAACCGAATCCATTCTTCCCGGACCTGTTTTCCTCTCTGGGTTTCTCTCCAGATGGCTCACCTGGGGAAATGTTTATCTGCCCAGGCTTGAGGAGTGGAGTTAGGTGGTGATTCTATCTGCTTGTCGTCAGCGATATTTGCATTTTCTGCCAGTGTTGCATGGGAGGGGTTGTAGGGCATGTGTGTGTGTGCTAATGGAGTGGGGTGGGGTGCAGTTTGGAAGCATCCAAAGCCTCAATCCCATAGCAATGTCAAAAAATGATCTAAAGCTCTAAATGGTTCAACACGAATGTGCATTTGATTGCTTCAAGCTTTGCTTGCAATTAAGAGGGTTAGAATTGCACCATCTGGATGAGAACCAAATAAGGGAAAGTGTTGTTTAATTTGCCCTCAGAAATAATTGCAAAATGTCTACTATGTGGGCCAACCTGTGCCGGGGTTACCACCAAATAGAACTGTGTTTGGAATGAAATTCTCTATTGTAGATAGAGCACTAAGGATCTGACGTATGACTGAGTGCCAACTCCACAGCTTTTAAGACCATCTGGGTCACACTTTGCTGCTAGAATGGGGAAAGAGAATGAAATAGCACTGCTAGTAGGAACAGATCTTTCTCGAGCGCTGATAATGTGTTGGGTATTGTGCTTTTCACACGTTAGCTCATCGACCTACCCATACAGCAATGCTATGGAGAGGTGCTCTGTTTTGCTGGTGAGGAACTGATACTTGGAGAGGTTAATTAGCTTGCTCAAGGCCCCACAGTTCCAAATGACTGAGGTAGAGGTCAAACTCACATATGTCTGGCTTTAGAGCCTGTGCTCCTAACAGACATATCCTAAGAGGTCAAGTTTATTATTTATACTCTCTGCGTTGGCTTTCTTTATCCTTCCTTTACTCAATTCCTTAATGCAACGAGAAGTCCAATGCCAGTGTCCCCTCTATCACTACTTAGCAATGAGGAAGGTCATGCTCCCTGTTTAGTTCAGTGTGACTCCATGCTCACGGGTTTCCGCTTCTAGGCAGGGTATTTATTTTCTAAGTCTTAGGTCTAAGTCTTATTTTCTAAGTCTCAACTCTTCACTACACCAAAGGCACTACAATCCAGTAAGTAAACACTCAAGGCTTTGAAAACAGATTCACCCAGATTCACGTTCTGGCTCCGCTATTCAATAGCTCTGTGACTTGAGTAAGTCATATTACCCCCAGAAACCGAACCATGGGGATAATAACACCTCCCACCAGGGTATTCATTCAATCTACAGACATTTATTGAGTGCTGTGCCAGGTCCTGGAGATACAGGGTTGTGAGACTGAAATGAAATAATCTATGTGCAGTGCTTGGTATAGGACCAGCAGACAGTAAAGCCTCACTAACACACAGTAGTCATGAATAGTAGAACAAACAGTGATTTCTCTAAGCACCATCCCAGGACAGGGGAGTGAGGTGTTTTCTGAATAAGGGAACTCTTGAAATGATCTTGTATGACTGAGCACCACTTTCTGCTGGCTGAGGCCAGCCCCCAATTTTAAATAATAGCCACAGCTGATGTTTCTTGAACACATAACATGCACTTTACATGTATTAACTCATGTATTTCTTACAACAACCCCTGAAGTAGAAACCCGCCTGGGAGTCTGTGCTGGGATCTGAACCAGCAAGTCCGACTGCAAAGCCTGAGAGCTCACTACCTCTCTAGCCTCCCCTCCGGATGTGCCTCTGATTTCCGCAGCTCGTCTCTATGCAGCCCACCCCTAGCAGCTCCGGAAAGAACTGCTCCAGGCAGGGGATGGTTAGAAAGGCAGGGTGTTCTGGAGAGCTGTATTTGGAGACCCTGTATCCCCTGATTCTTCTCAGGGATGTTTCCATGATCCCCACCCGCTTTCCTCTCCTTCCTGCTCTGTCTCTCTGACATCACCAAAGATGAAACCAGCCCATCCTGAAAAGCTGCGCTTGCCTGCGAAGCCCAGGAATGGAGACACTGGCTGGGGTGGCCTGTGTGGGCGGCGGGGCTACTGTTCTCGCTGCCAAAGGCTAAGGCCACTCTTCCAGCACCACCTCTGCTCCCTGGCAAAGCCTTGCCTCTCACGTTGGCTGCCTGAAGTCTGAGTGAAGCCCGGCCCACTCACCTTGGCCATAGTCTGCTGCTTGCCGGAGGTTTGCTACAGTCCCCCCTGCAGGGGCCACCCTCAGACTCATGCAGGAAACCTGTGCAGTTAGGACGGGGCCTCTGCTCACAAGGGCCCTGCTCGGTTAAATGCCCTGCTGTCTCCATCTTGAAATTCTACATAATTTTTGAACAAGGGGTCTGCATTTTCATTTTCACAGGGCTGACCCATGTGCTCATGCAGTTCCATATTTTTACTTGTTTCACTTAGTATTACAGGTACTTTATTGAAAACATCTTGCAATGGGGAAAAAATGGGGACATATGCAATACTTTCAACAATAAAGTTGTTTGTTTTTAAAAAAAGAAAGAAAACGTGTTTCTACAATAGTCCTGATAACCATCAAGGTGACTGGTGGTGATTGACTTACTTTTCCCCTCTGTTGGTTTCCTATTCCTATTCTTTTTGGACTCTGCCTTCTTTGTCTGTTTTATTCTTTGTCTAATTTCTTCCTTTCACAGGTTTAATCTGGGCCATCTGATCATTCTGTATCTCCTCCCCACAGGTAGTCTGATTCATGGCTTCAACTATGGGCTTCATAGGGCTGAGGAAAATGGGCTGTTCCTCCAAATGGCCATTAGTGTTCAACCATCTGTGTCTATGACCTGCTCAAGCCCCTTCACACCGCATGTGAAGAGAGCCAGCGGAGAGCCAGCCAGGCCATGTGGCACAGGCTTGTTAAACTCTACCTTACAGTAATGAGATCCGAGTGTCAGAGCCTGAAGGTATCTGCGGAATGATTCAGTCCAACTTCATTATTTCTCAGATAAGGAAACAGACTCAGCGGTCAATAGACTTGATCACGGATATGGAAGCAGTGAGCAGGGATTTGAAACTTCATTCCTTGACCTCCAAGTTTTATGCTCTTTGCTCGATGGCATGGCTTCTGAATTTGTTAAAGAGGAATTTTAGTTTTGCATGGCTGTACCATTAGAATGTGCATTTATAGTAAATAATTATATTACCGTCTTGCCTATTTTAGCTTAATATTATTTAATGGGAAGGAAAAAAGAAAATGTTCGCAACACATTTTTAAGTCCCTGCTTTGCAATGATCTGGACTATTGCAGGAGAAGTGTGTAAGTGATTCATGTTCTATCCAGCGGTAACTCGGTAACTGCACTTGTTGTCTTTGTCTCAATGGTCTGTTGATTCACTTATGGTGAAGGTTCCCAACAGTCAAATCATTTGATCTTACCTGTTCAGAGACAGAGAGCAGATCAGTCTTTGTCCTAGAATAACCAGGCCGACACTGGTGCTAGCGACCTGCAGACAAGAAAAGCATGGGTTGCCAAGAGTGAAGCTCTCTGGCCATAAATTGGCCATAGATATATCCCCCATAGTGGAAACATCATAAGCTCCATTTCCCTCTCATTTTGAGAGATATTTGAAAGAAATAATTCTAAACATACTGTCTTTCAGGTAAGAAAACTAACTATAAAGACTTCTGCTTGAAGATCTCCTTTAAACTGTTTTTTTCCCCCTCCTAATCTCTCCTCTCTATGTACCGTGTGTGTGTGTGTGTGTGTGTGGTATTTCACTTAGGTTCATTGTATTAGTCCCTTTCTATTGAGTTGTATTTGGCCTTTATCTGCTTAAATAAACTTGAATTCCACCTTGATTAACTTATTTCAAGGGAAAAGAAGCTTGGTTGTCAATGTAACTGAAGCAGAGGGAAGGGCACACGGGGAGCAGAGAAGGGCGCAGAGCTATTTTATAATGTACGGGGTTTGAGCACGGGCCTCTCATAGCTCCCCACACCCCATCTCAACCCTGTCCTCACTCCTGATATATCACTTCCCATCCCTCCAAGCACTTAGGAGCCATTGGTGGCCAGTGGTTTCTATAGGAGAGCACTGGCATCCGCAGACTGCCCTCTGTCCCATAGACTTACAAAGTCCATGGAAACGATGGTCTCGGCAGTGGAGTTCTCAGACTGGGTGAGTAACATGATGGAAGCAGGGATGTCCAGGGTGAAGTTCCCTGGTAGTAAACTGATCACGGGAGGCTCCGTGGCCATGATCCGGACCATGAAGGGCTGGGACAAGATGTAGATCTCTGCAATCTGCCCGGGTTCAGGGAATAAATGGAGACCGGGGGTTGTGAGTTGATGAGTGAAAGTCACAAATTTGGGGTGACTAAATCTTACATCATGCAGTAAGAATAGAAGAAAAGCTCCTTAATAGTAACAACAACAACAACATGCCAAAAACAAATAATAATGGCTGAGGTTTATCGAACGCACACTGTGTGCCAGGCACCATGCCAAGGCTGTTTGTATTATCTCATTTAATCTTCACAAAATCCCTGTGAGGCAAGTTCTCTCCATTTCACAAATAAAAAAAGTCAGTCTTGGAGAGGTTCAGTCATTTTCTCAAGGTTCCAGGTGAGTAAGTTGTAGAATTGGGGTTCAGATGTAGGTCTGTGTGATTCAAGATCCTTACTCTAACTCCAGGATGCTCTAAAAACAGTATGCCTTGCCCGGCTGGCGTGGCTCAGTGGTTGAGCATAGACCTACGAACCAGGAGGTCATGGTTTGATTCCTGGTCAGGGCACATGCTTGGGTTGTGGGCTCCATCCCTAGTGCGGGGTGTGCAGGAGGCAGGCAATCCATGATTCCCTCTCATCGTTGATGTTTCTCTCTCTCTCTCCCTTCCTCTCTAAAATCAATAAAAATATATTTAAAACAAACAAACAAAACAAAAACAGCATGTCTGTCTTTGTCCTCAGGGGCAAACCTAAGCCTTTCATACACGTGGTCCAGCACTCAGGTGGTCTGAGGCATGGCATTAATCGTTGCTTGATGAAAGGCACAAGCAAGGGCACTAGCCATTCATTTCCCATTTAAGCTAATTATTTCCAGTGTGTGGAACCTTGTGGATGCAACAGATGATTTATCTTTTGAACTTAAAATCTTTTAATAGTCAGATGTTCAGTAAATATTTGTGGATACTTGAACAAAAGAAAAAAATTCCTTAAGAATGTAAACATGGACTCGGGCTTGCACCACAAAGGAATAAAAAGAACCCCCAAAATAAAAGAGAAAACAGAAAAAGAACCCCAAGTGTTCTGGAAGTAATTCCAACGAAACCAAATACACTATCAAGGAGTCAAATCCTGACCACTTACCCGGGAGAGAATGTTGCCAACGCCTTGAGAGTTTCGAACCAAATGGCTGGAAATCTGGAAAATGAAGCCCATCGTGTCAGAGTGTACGGTTTTTACTTCAGTTGTCTTTTCAGGGAAAATATAGTATTCCCTATAATTTGTATGAATTATGAAGCTGTTGCACCAGAAAAAGTGTTTGAAGGCAACTTACCATTTTATAGACCAACCCTGGGAAACATGAGGCCCAGGGAAGTAAGTGACTTGCACACAGGGAGTCCCACAGGAGAGAGATACATTCCTTTTGAGTAAGTGGCTTTTAACCATGGGAACACTGTGTACATCATATACTATGTGCGGTCCATGTATAAATATTCTATGGTGGTTAACAACACGTTTTATGCTACTGTCTCCATTATGGAGACATAGAAGGCTTAAGTAATTTATCTTCACGGATGGGTGGTTTTTAAGTCTTGAAACTAGAAGTGTCTAATTGTCAGTACATGGTAGCTGGTATGGCCAACTTAGTATTCTGAACATAAGGTTTATGACAACTTGCATAATTAAGACCTATGGAATGAATATTCATAAGGGATGCTCAGTAAAAGTTGGAAAGAGT